ATGGGCTTCACTCTATGCCCAAGGCAATTTAACGACGCATACAACCTGTACGTCACAAAATGGTGGGAACAAGGCCGCACAGACCCAGACCAGATCATCCACGACACGACCAACCCAGTCGCAGGCAACACCCACGACTTAGCTCTCAACACGTTCATGGACGACATCACCTATGTGCAGACAATACCACCTGCAGCGACGGCTGGAGACATTGAAAAACAACTCAACAACAACACAGAACGCCTTTCCCAAACAATAGCAGCAGGAGGATGGGGACTCAATAATGCTAAGACCAACCACCTACTATACCTCGTAGGGCAGGGCTGCTACGGGAAAACCAGACAACTAAGGCGCAGCAAAACACTGCAAGGCCAGGCGCTAAGGGAAATGCGGGTACTTGGCCCCTACCTACCAGCTGGACAGGGCATCACTGGCGAGGTCGTGCGGCGCATCGCAGCCATCCGCGTTGCATGGCGACAATGCGGGATCTTTTGGACCTCTAAGGTACCCCGACAAATAAAACGCATGATGTTCATGGCATTCGTGGTAGGTGCGGCCCTTAGCGGTTTGCCAGCGCTAGTTCTGACAGATGCCCACGCAACAGCTATAGACAGCGTACTAGGCAAGTACCTACGGACGCTAGCGGGAGGAGCAATGTCGTGGACCAGAACAGATGGGACAGTGAGGTGCAACAACTTGCGACAGGTGTTCAGATACTGGAGACTAGAGCGCACATCCGTCTCTTTGCTGGTGCGACGACTACGGTGGTATCAGAATTGGCCAAGGCACCCTTGGGAGCACGGAGCAGTCATAGCAGCGGTGTTCGGAACATCCAGACTAGACGCAGCTCAGGGCATACGTCGACTTGAGGGGCAGGGATTTGTGGGGCCCACCTCCACCCCGTGGGCGCAGCAGTTTGCAGCCGACATGCATGTGATAGCAACAGTGGACGAGAGCATGGGATGGTACGCAGACAGGGAATCCGACCTCGCTATATTCGAACAGGGGAGTACGGAACAAAAAAGCTGGTTACAAACAGACCCATCAATACTGTACAGTTACGAGCGAAATTGGGATGTGCTCACGACACGAGATGCGAAGATACAGGGGGAGGAGGGCAGGGAGGAGGATACACTAAAACCGTATTGGTGCGATCATACGACGAAGGGCGAAAACGACACAGAGCAGAGGTGTGGCATGCGCTCTGCGACATGCGCAGCACTAGCTGGGCATCGCCGAGAGACCCACAACATCCGACCAGTGGTGGCGTCCGTAATCGTCAACAACCAGTGTCCCTGGTGCAAGAGCACATTTATTAACCGTAAGGTATGTGTCGACCATGCAGTCAGGGCAGTGCACGGCCACGGTATATGCCACCAAGACAGGTCGATGTGGTCCCACCACATTTCCGACCCCAGCTCCCTTAGCTGCCAGATCTGTAACCACGAGGCTCAAACTCTTGAGGATTACCACGCACACATACGTGAGCACATAGCAGGGCCAGAGTCGATCAGAGCAGCACGGGGGGAAGGAGCACATGTCGCACGTGGGCCACGGCGACTGGCGCATCAGGGCCAGCACGAAGAGAGGAGGAGGCGCAGCCGAAGGGCAGCGACCAGCACAGCGCCCACACCTCGGCGGCGGCGGAGTCGGCTCGTCAGACACTCAGCAGTCGCAGCAGACGCCGCAGCAGCCGCCTCCCACCCAGCGCCGAGGAGGAGGAGGTCGAGGACCCCCAGGAGGCGGCCGTGGTGGGGGAGGAGGAGGCCAAGTGGAGCTGCGGGACCAGCTGAGGTCGCTCCAGAGGCTCACTCTCCAGAACTCGAACGAGATCCGCAACTTTCTGCACCTCACGGGAGAGTTCTGGCTGACGCCGCTCGAGCCAGAATGGGTGCAGGCGCCGATGGAGACAGGCAGGGAGTACGGGCGGAAAGTAAAGCAGCTGGGCAAAGGGCACGGCCTCGGCCCACCTCATGGCCAGGTGGCGGCGAGTCTAGTCGAGGAGATCGTGGCGGTTCTCGACACGGAGGAGCAGCAACTAGACGCGCCCCTCCTCCACGTGAGACAGCTCCTGAAGGAATTCATGAGCCAGCTCGACGAGCCCTGGGGACCAATCTTCATCACGGAGGTCTTCTTGCAGTGCAAGATCCAGGAGGCATACAACAAGACGGGCGAGGACGTGGAGATGGACATCAAACAGTGCAAGGCCAAGCTCATCTACACGATCAACACGGCGCCGAGCTTCAGGGCCGTGCTGTACGACCAGAAGCTGGAGCAGGAGCAGTACGACAAGATCGCGGGCTTCAAGGGGGACATATTCAAGCAGGCCCTGGGCCACGCGCTGGCGCACCTAGGGGCCACGAAGAGCCGCTCAGGAGGCCCGAAGACGGGCCTGGAGAGGGCGGTGGAGGCGCAGCTCAACAGGAGGTGAGCCAAGGCACACCTCAGACAATGCCCAGCAGCTCGCCCCGCCGCGAGCGAGAGAGCCCCGCGGGCCAGCCCTCGCCAGGCCCGCAGCCCAGCGGAGCCAGCAGCTCGATGTCGAGCAGCGCCACCGAACCACGCCTCAACACAACGGGGCGCCCTCGTGCCTGGCCACCATCATCACCGCCAGTGAGCCGAGAGGAAAAATTGCACAGCAGATTAGTACAGACCTTGTTCGTATGACGAGTCTCAGAAGCCAGGCCGAACAACACGGAGGCCAGATGGCATACCTATATCGGATGGCTACGTACTATCGGGACCTACGACCAAGGGATTATTACCAGCCTATGGCAAAAAAATGAGGGGGACGGCGGCTTTTCTAATTATGCAGCCGTCACCCTACAATTACACGGGCTCCCACTACCCACGCCCTCTCCCCCACCAACTCCCACTTCCCAACCTATCATCTCTCTCCAGGCAATCAGCTCTCGACTAGTGTCACTCACATACGGGGTTTGCCTGTCATACAGTATTGTTGATGATGCTCGAAGCATGATGTACCGCGACATCGTAACGGCCAGTATACAGAACGACAGTACATGCTACAGGGCACACATCGCGTACTATGACAGCATGCACAGGGAACTACCATACCACATCAACCAGCACAGCCATGCGTTTGTGATCCGACCACGGTCCGACCTCTCCTCTCCTGCTCAGCTACATCCAGCTCTTGCCTGCTTTAGCTATTACAACTGTTACCTATCTCGACATCCAGAGAATAGAGTGAGTAAGAGTTGCATACTAAGGAAAGGCACAGGACTCCGACAGCAGCGAACCACTGTGCCTACGCCTACTATCACACCAAGGTCTTACTACGGTTCCTTACGGCCCAACCACTGGGAACTAAGGAAACTACTACAATATCTAAGGTGTACAACAGTAGGCGGGAACAACTAAGGTAACGAGGATTGGTATACAGCTCGACATACTACCAGAGGACATTTGCGACTCGAGCATCTTCGCGGCTTCCCATCCAGTGCTGGCGGCCACTCCGCCTACATCCAAAGCCAGCGCCCAGAGGGCGCACGACCAGTGTTGCAATGGCGGCGCAGGCGCACATGGAGAAGGGCGAGATGGCGAAGCAGCCTGCCGCAGAAGATCATCTGCAGCCGACGATTGTGCAGAAGCCGCTCGACAGAGGAGGCATGGGAGGAGTGGCGGACCAAGTGGCGGGCACGGCGGCGTGCAGGCTCGAGGTCGCGCACAACGCGCTCCAGAGTACGGCCGTATCGTTCAAGGTGGCGACCGAGCACTGCAAGAAGGCCCTCCACGCGCTCCACAAGCAGCGGGAGAGGGTGGTGACCACCCTGGGCCGCTTGAATGCGAAGAGCCTCAACCCATGCGAGGAAGCGGAGCGCAGCCAAGCGGTGCTCTACCTCAAGGAGCAGCTCCACGACATCAACGGTGCCATCAGCTCAATGAGGAGCGCCATCGGCATCACCGACGACAAGATGGGCAAGACCATGCACGGGCCGATGCCATGGGAGCTGGACTTCACGAGGCGCCAGTACGACGAGCTCGACAACATATACACGCGCTGGACGAAGGGCCCGCACGGCTACGCATACGACGAGGCGTTCTTCGCGGGCGACATGCAGACGGAGCCAATGGTGGAGCCGCAGATGGAGATAAAGGACTACCTCCAGCCTCCACGCAGGCCGCCGTGCACCAACCCGAGCAAGAGCATCGAGGGCTGGGAGAACCGTGGCAAGGTTCTCAGCAGTGAGGCCAGCTCGAGCACCCCAGCCGCCGCCTCGGCAGTCACTAAGGATGACAGCTCGGCCCAGAGCAGGGACGTCAGGCTGTCCTCGCCAAGGGCGGCAGCGGCAGCAGGCTGGGGCATAGGGCAGCAGCAGTAGTAGAGAGCAGACTGAACTAGGCCTGGCCTCCCTTTTTTTTCTCTCCCCACTACCACCACAAGGGAGGGCTCGGCAGCAAGCACTCAACGCATGAGCCAGTGCGGCCATGCACTACATATGCCGAGGGCAGGGAGTACCAGGCCGCCCCTTTTTTTTTGCCTCTCTTACCGTCCTGGGAGTGGGGGAGGAGGGGGGCGTTGGTGGGTGGGCTCTCAGCGGTGAGGGGTGCGCCCAGCGAGGCAGCCCCACTTCGCCTGCAACAGTCGACAGGCCGCAACCGAGGCAGGGTCTCCCTGCTAGCGAGGCTCGGGGCCCCGTCGACACAGGCGGGCCCCGTCGCCTCAGGCGGCCCCCCCAAAGCAAGGGTGGGCCCGCATCCGTATGCTTCCCAGGGGTCAAAGCCTTTTTCGGTAGGCGGCAAGACCAGGCCCCCAAGGGCCTTATCCTTATCCTTATCCTCCTCCTCCTCCTCCTCCTCCTCCTCCCCCTCCTCCTCCTCCTCCTCCCCCTCCTCCTCCTCCTCCCCCTCCCCCTCCCCCTCCTCCTCCGCCTGTGGGAGCACAGCCTCTCGGGCCTGGGCCGGGGGCGCCCTCTTCAGCGAGCCCCCCCCCGGCCACGCCCGGCCGCCGCGCCCACGCCGCTCCGCGCCGCGAGGCCGGGCGAGCCCCGGCGGGACGAGCGGCGGGAGGAGCGCCAGGACCGGCCCGGGGCGGAGCGCGGGCGCGGGAGGGCCATTCAAAACGACGCGAAGATCGGGGCAAAATCGGATCGGGACAACTCGAAATCTCCGAGGATCGGCGGGTTTTGGAGGATGCATTGAGCGCCGCGTCCGCTCCAGAGCGTTCCGGAACGCTCCGAGAGCGCTCCGGAACGCTCTGGAGCGATTTATCCCGATCCTAGCCCTGTTTTGCCATTCGATCGATTACGTGTAATTAAGAGGGGCCCTTCGCCGGAGTGACCTCTGGTGGGGGCTCATCTGGGTTCCCCCGAGCGCTCAGCGCGATGCGAGATAGCGGCTGGTGGCGCGCCTGGGTAAGGCCACGTTGCGCCCCCTCAGTCCGCGCACCCAGGGTCACTCTTGCGGGCAGTCACAGAAGCCTTCAAGAGGCTCCCGAAATGCTCCCACGGAGGGCCCCACAAAAACTTGGCGGCTCACGAGATTCAGCATGTGTTTTGAGCGGGGGGGGGGTCATGCTTTGTTCCTCCTCGTACGTATCCTCTTTCATCTCTTCCTCCTCGTCATCGCGCTTGTCTTCCCAATCGTTGTCCTCCTGCTCCCCTCGCTGCCCTCCCCGTCATCCACGGGGTCATCCTCGTCATCCACCGCCTTGTGGTCGCCATCATCCTTTTCCTCTCTTCCCCCGACGAGCCCAAACGGACAAAATCGGCGCTTCCCGATTTTGTCCGATCATGTTTGTTAGGAACAGAGCTCTAGGAGGAATTTGGATAAGAACAGAAGCCTGACGGTGCCAATGCAATGGACATGCTCAGTAGCGTTCTGACGTGCAGACCGTCCAGCCGCACTCAAAGGCTAAGGTACAAGCCCCCGATTGAACCAATCCAGGAAGGACCTCCTGGTGGCATTTGGGTGCTCAGAACCACGACACTCTCGCCTGAGGATGAGGAGTAGGAAGAGGAGGAGGTGGAGGAGGAGGAGGAGGAGGATGAGAGAGGAGGGAGGAGGGAGGAGGGAGGACGGAGGAGCGACGAGGACCGCGGCGACGCCAGATGGAGCGATAGGCGCGAAGAGCGGCGTGACGACAGGCGGGCCGCACTTTGCCCCTTGAGCCGTGCCATCATTGGAGGGGGGGGCGCCTTCTCCTGCTTCTTCTCCCTTGTCCGTCCTTTTTGCCATCCCCCTCGTCGTCCTCATCCTCCTGCTCTTTTCTCCCTCATCCTCCCTTCCCCTCGGTCCGTCGCCTCGCTCTCATCGTCCTTCCTCTCCTCATCGTCAGCCCCCCATCGAGCCCCCTTTGTCCTCCGTCTCGTCCTCCTCTTCGTTCTCTCCCTCGTCCCCCTTGTCTGCGTATTTATCCGCCTCGTTGTCCTCGAGGTGCGCCAAGGAGCGTAAGAGCGGGCCAGGAAGAGGAGAAGGAGTCAGAGTAGCAGGAGTCAGAGGAGGATGTGATGAGGACAACGATGATCGAGGAGGGGCAGGAGGATTGGGAGAGGGCATGAGGGAAAGGAGGAACAGGAAGACGCGAAGAGGGATCAGGAGCAGAGGAATGGTTTACTCTGGATGGGTGTGAGGACGACGAGGATGGCGGTGATGCTGGTGACTCGCTGGTGGTCGAGTCTGTGCTGGTGTGCGGGTCTGTGCCGTTTTCGCCATCGTCGTGTTCTGCCTCCCTGTGCGCTGCGCAACTCAAAATTGCTTCCGCCCTCTGGCTTCACGTCCTGGCTCGGTGTGCGGGCATTGCTGCGTGCATCTTTGGAAAGGACTCATCTCTGCACTCGTCTCCTCCTCCCTTTCTTGCTCCCTCTCCTCCTCCTCCTCCTCCTCCTCCTCCTCCTCCTCCTCCTCCTCCTCCTCCTCCTCCTCCTGCTCCCCTCCTCTTCATCCGATGGGCTCTGGAACCCCAGAGCTCCGGAGCTCCTCGGCGGCCTCCGGAGACCGCTACAAAAGCACCATGGAGGCCCAAGATGCGTCCCAAGCTTCGCTCTTGAAGGGCGAAACTTGGGCGCATCTTGGGCCAGTCCTCAGGCGATCGCAAACATGGATCAAAGGGGCGTGGATTAGCAACGGGTCCCGCTTCAATGCGAAATCGCGGATTTCCGCCGCCGAGCGAGGCGGCACCGGCCGCATTTGGGGGAGGGCACCTCTCCCCATCTATGGATTTGGCGGCCGCGCGCCAAATCCATGGATTGCTACTCCATGTTCGCGCGCCCCCGAAGTCTTGGGCCTCTTGTGACACAGGAGGGAAGAGGGGTGGGGAAATCGCAAATCGAAGGGGAGGGGGGGGGGGGCAAGCTGAGAGGGGGGGTCCAGCTGGTGCCGTCTCGAGGCCGTCCTGAGCCGTCTTCGAGCGCTCTTGGCCCGAGGCCGTGGAGCCTGCCGCCCATTTGGGGCCGGCTCTCGGAGCGCGCCAGAACGGCGCACAGGACGAAAGCCAGCTCTGCACCGAGTCGACCAGGGTACGTGGTTGAGTTCAGG